CCTTCCAGTACCTAAAGGGGCTACAGGAAAGCTGGAGAGGGGCTTTGGACAGGGGCATGTAGTGACAGGGCAAGGGGCAATGGCTTTGCACTGAAAGAGGGGAGATTTTGGTGAGATCTAAGGAAGAAATTTTTTACAATGAGGGTGGTGAGGCACTGGAACAGGTTGCCCAGAGAAGTTGTGGCTGCCCCATCCCTGGAAGTGTTCAAGGCCAGGCTGGATGAGGCTTTGAGCAACCTGGTGTAGTGGAAGGTGTCCCTGCCCATGGCAGGGGGGTTGGAACTAGATGATCTTTGAGGTCCTTCCCAACCCAAACCGTTCCATGATTTCGGAGCAGGGGGTAGGTGTGTGCTGGGTGAGCTGCACTGGGAGAAATTCCGGCGTTGTCTCAGGCCTGACCTGGCTCTCCTGCAGCCGAGCCGCACCTCTCTGCCTGCTGCAGGACGTGCTCTGAGCTTTCCTGCACGGAGGAAGATGCAGGTGAGGCAGCGCAGGGGAGAAGAGCCCGTAACTCAGCCAACCTGCTTACGCTGCACCCGTTTTGCATTTGGGCCAAACCATGAACGCGCAAACCACGCGTGGTGCCAGCAAGAAGGGCAGGTTCATTTGCTTGAGAATGTTACTGGGAACCTGCGCGTTAGGGACTATTTTTATTCAAATACATGTACATGAAATTGTAGTTACTAAAAAAAGAGAGTTACTCTGCTGTTTTGGTGCTCGCTCGAGTGCTTACACCTGCCTGTGAGCCTTAAACTGGCTTTTTTTTTGCTGCAGAAGCACAGCTGTGACTCAGCCACGCTCGGCTGCAGAGCCCCAACTTTGAGTAACGTTGTGTGACAGGCAGGAACTTAACAGAGATCTCGGGCCGTGTTGTTACAGCTGCACAAAACACGGGGAATCCACCTGCTCGTTAATTTAATTATTATTTCCAACCGCGTGATGTTGGGTTCTCCTGGCAGAGCGTGGGGTGCTGCGGTCACCGCTCCGGAGTGTGCACTCTGTGCGAGCGTTCCGGGGGAAAGGTGGAAATCTGGAGGCAGTCGAGTTGTTCAGACAGAGAGTTTAACCCAGCTCCACTGCTGCTTGTGGAGCTCAGCACCCCTGTAAGCCTCCCACAGCCCTGCTGTGCACCAGCACCCTGGGTCCTGGATGCCCCAGGTCGTCCATGGGTGGGAGTGTGGTGATAGACACTTCTACACACGTACGTGCACTCGTATGTGAGGATCTCCCCTCCTTCAGTTTAAATCCATTGCCCCCTGTAGTGCCAGGACACGGGGCAATGGCTTTAACCTGAAAGAGGGGAGATTTCAATTAGATCCAAGAAAGAAATTCTTCCCTCTGAGGGTGCTGAGGCACTGGGACAAGTTGCCCAGAGAAGCTGTGGCTGCCCCATCCCTGGAAGTGTTCAAGGCCAGGCTGGATGAGACTTTGAGCAACCTGGTGTAGAGGAAGGTGTCCCTGCCCATGGCAGGGGGTTGGAACTGGATGGTCTTTGAGGTCCCTTCCAACCCAAACCATTCTAGGACTCTGTGGTTTATATGCAGGACCTAGAAGGGAGGTGGTAACTGTCCCTGCGTGGGAGTCTCTGTGGTTACAGTCAGGTCTGAACAGATCGTCCTGTAGCCACTTCTCAGACTGTCCCAGGAGCAAGTGGGTGGACTGGTGGCAGCTGAACTTGTGCTGTCCCTTTGTGCCTTTGCTGCCCAGCTGGCTGCGGTGCATTTGGTGGATTCTCACTACTGCACGGACCCTGGCAAGTTCATCTCCGTTCTCTGCACCTCGCTCTCCACCATGCTGCATGTGGAACTGCCCCATGTCAACGTCCTCTCCAAGATGGACCTGATCGAGCAATACGGCAAGCTGGGTAAGAGCCTTTGGGAGAGGGACACGTGGGTTGTGTCGGGTACAGATTAGCTGCTCGGGTACAACGATTGCTGGGAGATGGTCAGCAAACTGGTGTAAATCTCACTGGGTTCTTACATTTACAAGTTGCCTTCAGAGCTTCTTGGTGTTTCCCTGCAGCTTTCAACCTGGATTATTACACAGAGGTCCTGGACCTGTCTTACTTGGTTGACCATTTAGCTTCCGACCCCTTCTTCAGAAACTACCGCCGCCTCAATGAGAAGCTGGTGGAGGTGATCGAGGACTACAGCCTGGTGTCCTTCGTTCCGCTCAACGTCCAGGTGATGCAGCGGGAGGAGCGGGGCAGAGAAGAGAGAGAGCTGGATGTGGAGCCAGCACGTTTGGTAGCAGCGAGGTTACGTCTGCTTAGAGCCACAAAGGCTGAAAAAGCTCAGCTGCCAAGGGACGGGATGAGGACGTGGAGGAGGACAGTGAAACACACCCAGAATCTAAAACGTTAAATTAGGGAGCACAAAATAATTAGATTGGGAGGAATATATCTGGGGGGAAGGGCTCAAAACCTTCGTCTGGTAGTTGGCAGAAGTGTCAACAAAGGCAAATGGGCTGAGACAAGAGGTAATGAAAGGGAGCGAGAGGGTGGAGGGTGTCAGCCCATCACAGATTTCGGCTCCACGGTGGGTGCCTCTGTTTGTCCTGTGGCCTCTCTGGGCTCCAGGAGACCCCTCGGGGCGACGGGCGCTGCGTGGGTGGCCCAGAGCCTCCGAGAAAACCTGTGCTAAAGCCCTGCGAGAGCTTTTGCCTCCGGGGAAGGACCAGATTCCCTGTGTGACATCTCCCTCCCTTTCAGGACAAGGAGAGCATGCGGCAGGTGATGCAGGCGGTGGACAAAGCCAACGGCTATTCCTTCGGAGAGCAGGAGCACAGGAGCCTGGAAGCTCTGATGTCGGCAGCAGTGGGAGCCGATTTCCACTTTACTTCGTATCCTTCTACGTTGATCCTCTGTCGTGTGGAGTTTTAATTTCTCCTTCCCTTGGGAAGAGAGGCTGGAGGTGGGGCTGGCAGTGTGCAGGCCCAGGGCGTTGCTGTTTGGTGATACGCACGTAGGGCTGAGCCCAGACCTTAGCAGACGGTTGTCCACACCAAAGCCACCACATTTCTTGCTAATTGATACTGTGAGTGTGGGAGGAATCTTCTGACAGCTTTCCTCTCTCTCACACTCACTTGGACTGCTTCATTCCACCTCGTCCAAACCATACAGTTGTACTTGTTGGGTCTGGGATCAGCCAGAGCCAGAAATAACTCAGGTGATGTGAGCTGCTGCCAGTACTGCGTCTTCCTGCCAGCCTTCAGGCTAACGTGGGGCTGGTTCCTCCCCAGAACGGCAAGAGCTCCTTGCAGAAGGGAGTGTTTGAGCCCAGCCCCGTGTTTTCCTTAATTACTGCGTTATCAGCACACTTGCAGTGCAGGAGAAGTATGTGCAATCTCAGGACAAAGCCGTGGAAGAAGAAGTGATGGATCTGTGACACACCCACCTCTTCCCCAGCTGCTCTCTGGTTTGGCACCTCTGCTTTTCCTACCAGGAGCTCAGTGGTGCGACTCAGGCCAAGCGAAAGCCTTTCCGGGCGGAGGTCCGTCCGCTGGACTCCCTCTCTCTCGGGGTTTGTGCTTCAGCCCCGCTGCACAGAGCAGCGTTTTTGCAGAAAGGTGGCGGCTGAGCGCACGGTGAGCCGGGTCTTTCCGTAGGAACAAGAGGGATTTAGCCAGGGGAAGGCATGGTTAGCGAGAGAAGAGAAGCAAGATGAAGGAGACTGACCTTTTCCAAGTCTCCTCCTCCCCGCCATGACCAAGATGGACCCAGAGAAAGAAAAATCACTTTGAGCTGTCTCTTCTGCAGTGAGACCCGAGGTGAAAGTTCTGGGTTTACTGCAGAGGAGGAGCATGCACGGGCCTCGTGCTCGGAGGAGCATCCGGGCTGAGAAGCCTCCAGCCCATCTCGAGGAGGACAGAAAGATGGTTGTTTTTCTTTCTTTTTTTTTAAATAATGATGGACTCTTTCTTAATAAAACACTCCTTGGTCTCGCTTTCATCTTGTGAGTTTGCTGAACCTGAATAAATAAAACCAAGAGTGCTCACAAGGCCCGAGGGCGCAGAGCCTCGGGTGGCAACATCACGGCAGCTGGCGCTTTGTGTGCTTGGCAGAACGGCTCCGCGTTTGCCACGTCGTGTCCCTCCATGATCCACCTGGGAGAAGACACAGCGTTGGCTGGAGGGAGAGCAGCGGTGGGAGGTGGAAGCAGGTCACTCCTGGCGCGTGCTTATCCAGTGCCAGCGTACAGTGTGCGCGCGGCGCGCCGGCAAACTGCAAGCTCGGCTTTTGTCAGCTTTTGATTAAGAAAGACCCAGTGTGACTCAGCGGGAAGCTGGAGAACATCGTTTGCATGTAGGGCCTTTCCCAGCAGCTGCCTTGTCTGCCCTCACCCACCTTCCTCTTTATCATGGAATCACGGAACGGTTTGGGTTGGAAGGGACCTCAAAGATCACCCAGTTCCAACCCCCCTGCCATGGGCAGGGACACCCTCCACTGCACCAGGTTGCCCAAAGCCTCATCCAACCTGGCCTTGAACACTCCAGGGATGGGGCAGCCACAGCTTCTGGGCTTTCTTTCTCCTGTACCTTCTCCAGATCCCAAATCCTGGGGCTTCTCCTCTCTTCCTGGCCCGCTGCAGCTCCTGACAGGGACAGCAGCAGCTCCCAGCCCCGCCTGCAGCAGCTTGACCCCATCGGCGCGGCGGATCGGGAAGGTCGGGGTGATGAAAAGCGAGGTGTCCACACGGAGCAGCCCTCCGAGCGCCTCCCGGCAGCTCCCGCGCGGGGAGCGGCGAGACTCCCGGCTCGCTGCGCAGACTCAGCATCGCCGCTCGCCCAAGCCCTGACGTAAAGAGCTCTGTCTCCAGGACGGTTTGCCCCTTGGCTGAGCGATTGCCCACCACCAGCCGGGTGAATCCGAGTGCGAGTGGGGTCTTGCTCAGCAGAGCCTGCAGCAGACCGGGATTTGGAGACGAGGAGGAGCTCGGGGGGAGAAGGAGGACGAAGACACACGCTTCCATGAGCACGCACACGCCTGTGCTTTAAGCGGATCAGCTCACAATGAAAGGCTACACTGACATTTCAAATATAAAAGTCAAATTTCTGTCTGCTGTCAGCGCCGGAGCGCTTCCCGAGAGCCTTCCCTGGGTGATCCTGGGTGAAACCCGGCGGCTGCGTTTCGGTGTTACCTGGGGCTCGAGGTCTGGAAGCTGATCTGACCATAACCAGAGCTGAAACTCCATCCTTGACTCGGGGTCTTGTGGACTTGTCCTGGTTGTCTGAGCCCTGTAGTTGCTCTAAAGTGGTAGAAGTGCTCATAAAAAAAAAAAAAAGTGAATTTGATGGTGGCTTTTTCATGACTTTTTGAGAGATTTGGTGGCTTAAAAGGGTATTGTTGGGTCAAGCTGGAGTTATGCTGAGGTGTGAAGGAGCTGCAGCCTGAAAAGGGCAGCGTTTCTGTGCCACGGGGCTCTTGGCAGCCCAGGTTTGGAAAGCAGGGGCTGATCTGAGTGCAGGGATGACACTCAGGGCTCAGCAGGGATGCCACTGCTCCGGGCCAGCCCCCTGGTGTAGAAATCCAGCGGGCTCCTGCACCCACATGTCCCCCCGTTGGGAGGGGACGGCCTCACCGAGGCTCCCGGGCTGAGGGAGGTGACACTCTGGCTCCTGTCGCTCCCGTTGAGCAATCGGCCGGGGCGAAGGATTAGTCACCCCAATTGAGGCACATCCCTGGGGGTGGCCAGGCTGGTCCTACCTGCCCTGGCCCCTCCAAACCCAGTGCTGGGAGAGGTTGAGCCCACCCTGACCGCGCATGGGACCTCCTGGGTGAGACCGAATGTGGCAGGTCGTGTTTTTCGGGATGGAGGGGTTTGGGCTTGGATGCAACCACTGAGCCCCACGGGGTTTGCTGGGTCCCCTCCATCGCATCAAGCCCCAACCCCTGCCTTGCAGCCAGACCACCATTCCAGAGCCCTGGCTGTACATCCCACCCAGCAAAGTGGCACCGCAGCTGCTTGCTGGAGAGGCAAGAGCACCCCAGCCCTGGGTTACCCCACCCCAGGCAGCTGCAGGGTCCCTCTCTGTACCCCGAAAACACAGTGCCTGGATCAGACCGCGTGCAAGTGTGGTTACTGGGATGAAATGCCGAGCGTTTTCGGCAGCCATCGCAATGCAGGGTCGGGGCTCGACCCTGTGCTGGGCGTCTCGCCGGGGCTGCGGGATGGACAAGATGGGTTAAAATCCAGAGGAAGGAGCCAGCGTGACCCCGCAGTGTTTGCCCCAGGAAAGGTCGGGGGGGGCTGCTGGCTCCATCGCGGGGCTCCTGCTCAAAGGCTGCGCGTTCCCGTCAAGTGATGCTCTCTGCAGGGTGTGAAAAGCCTCTTCAAATACTAAAAATCCCCCAGACCAGGCAACCAGTCCAAGCCAGGCAGCACCCTAGGGTGCCTACCCAGTGCCAGCCAGTGCCGTCTCCCTTGGGTGCTGTGACACCAGGGACGTGCTGGCAGTGGCCCAG